TGCTTGAGGAAAACCATGAATATTATTATTTTACAGCGTCTGGTTAAGAGCATGGTTTACAGTTTAAACAAATATTTTTTGTAGCGTTTGTTCATAGCTCTGAATTATACACTGGGATAAAAATCAGTGATGCTAGGAAGAAGCAAACATACTGCGTATAGTACTTGTCTTGCTACTGTTGGCCTATCAAGCTTAAAATAACCTTTGAATATTCAACAGGCTTACATTACACTGCTTATGCTCAACAAGTCATTAACGCTGTAAACTAGCTCTTTGTTGCGTTTGTCCTAGGGAGCTGCAAGAGCACTGCCAACTCATGTCGAAGTTTGGCTTTTCTATTTAGCTTAAATCGCATCGCCAAATATGCGCCCTATATGAGCTGTATACAAAGATGTAACAACATCAAAACTATGATCAAGACTCATTAAGAAATTTCAGTTGTTCCCACTTTGTATAATACTGTAATAGGCTAATTTAAAATATCCGTATCCCATGTCTTAATTAAGAATCATGACGGAACAGAATCACTACTAACTCTATTACTATTAAAATTTTACCTAATCTTTTGCTTTGAGACAAAAGAAATAAGCTTTTGTTAGATCAACTACTGACGGAGTCCATAGAGAACCCAAGGAAGATTTAAAAAAAAAAACCAAAAAAAACTGTATTGCTGCTTAACCTTATTTAACAATGGCTTCAGCCAGAACCTCCTCCAGTTTTTACCTCATCTCAGTAACACATGTATTTTTAAATAATGGCAAGTAGAGAGACAAAAGGCCTTTTTTTCTTCCCCCTTCATAAAACAAACTACAGAGAAGAGGTCAGATTCACACATACACCCTTGCAGCTTCATGCTATTCTACCAGGGCAAAGCAGCTAACTCGAGAGTAGCTCAGCTGTTCTAGACAAATGACAGTAATTACACAGTTCTGCCTGACACAATAAAACAGCCTGCCTGTTACAGTGACAGGAATTACAGCAGGAAGAATATCTGAAAGGAAAAGGCCAGTGACCTGAATGGTCATATTTACCTTTCCAAAATTAGTGATAATACTCTTTCAGAAATCCTCGATATCTTCCCATGCTGTTTTCTACCATGGAGAAGATTGGGAAGCTCTCCTGCCATTTAATAAGGAAAGGAGAAGATGGGTGCCACTGCTGTGAAGCTGCTTATTTTGAACTATATATTCTGAACTTAACAGGTAAGCATGAGTTCAGTATAAGAGAAAATTTAATTAAAAGAAAAAACAACACCCCCACAGAAATCAACAGAAAAACATATGAGCCCAAATTCTACGCTGATTTACCCTATGAAACATCAGATGTCAGTGGAAGTACGCGGACCGTTAGGTCATCGGAGTTTGCGGCCTGCCATCTCTGTAGGGGCTTTGGATGTAACTTATGCAGAACGACATAAGTGTCTGCCCACAGCTGCACTTCTTAGTGGGTGTATCCTCCAAAAATAAAGCGATAGAAGATTATAAACCCAGGAGCGTTGCTACAGTTTGTGCAAGCTGCAGTGAAAAGCGTTGAAAAACCTTGACTGGACAGCATCAGGACAAGGGGACTTCACTTCCCCTTTCAATGCCATCACATTAAAAAAAAATTACAAACGCAGATCAAAACTGTTATTTTTGAAACTGGAAGCATTCACAAAGATTTGTTGTTTTACAATGGTGGAGAAACACATGGGATTTCAACTTGTGGAGAACAGCCTTTTCCTATAAATCACAGAGAGTAATCTGAAACCTAGAAACAGCACAGGGGCTCACATTTATGGATTTAAAACAGATGAAGAGCAAGCTTGCTCTTAACCCTTTCTCCATAATTTCTTCCAAGTACAAAACAAACACGGATATGCAAGCATGGAGCAGGAATTAACATGGTAAAAATCAAGATTAATACAATTCTGAAAACATCTCAAACTTCAGCTCTTTGACTAACTTCCCTAAGGACGCAAAGAACTGTCCTAAAGCAGAGCGCTAAAATAGTTAGAGCATAATCCACTATCCGGACTGCTCTTTCATCAGCTTTTATTTAAGCAGTTTATCTTGTTGAGATTAGGATCTCTCTTATAGAGAAAGACCTGGCAAACACAGGCCTCGGGTTTCGAATGTCAGGCTATATTTCAGTGGGAAAGAAGTAACTAGCAGCCTGTCGTCTCACCATAAGGTTATAAACTATTTAATCAGGCAATAGGAGAACTAATACCAACGCATTAGTAATAATTTCTCTTCAGAAATTTGTAACAGCACTAAGACGATACAAAGAGGGTTTACTTATCGTCTTTTAAGGCCCCCAACCATTTACCTATCATTTTAGCCTTTCACTGGCCCTCTCATGGCTCATTTGATGAGGAACAAACACAGTACAGCTTGTTCAAACTTGAATTCTAAAAAGCAGCCTTTTCTTCCTCTCTCTCCTTTTTTTTTTTTTTTTTTTAAAAAAAAAGGACACTATGTGAAAGAATGGACTGGCATATCTATATTGCCAAGGGGCGTTAGTCTAAACCTTGTCAGGGTCAGAGTTCCAGCACTTCCAGAAACTCGCTCCCGTATGCGACACAATGACATGATTGAAAACAAAAGTGGCCTAGGATTGAAATAAAGTATGATAGGATGCCGTGTTAAATCTGTGCACCAATGTAACATCACTGAGGAAATCCTAACCCAACCAACCCAGTGCCTGAAAAAGAACAGTACCGGAAAGGAGAAGAGGGAAGATAATTTTAAGTTTACTACAACATCACTCATCTGCACAAACAATATTTGCCAGTGGTCATCCAACCTCTCTGTCCCTTTATTGGCCCCAGTCCAGCAAAGTGGTACTTTTGTCCATGTCTGTCGATAAGAAGGTAGGTTGGAGAGTGTTTCTGTGCTTTACTGAAAAGCTTACACTCCAGAGGAAAAACATCTCTAAGGTGGCAGAGATGGGCACCTCAATCTTCTTCAAATGAAGAGAAAGTTACTTGAGCATAACAGAAAAACGTGACATGAAAATGAGCTCTATCAGCCTCAGTTACTGGGTATGTGGTAGGAGGAGCCAAAGAATTCAGCCATGACTGAACTTTCGTGCTACAATAATCAGACAGAAATGCTAAAGGAAAATCTGAGTTCTTTTGAGATAGCTTGGTAAAACTTCATTCCTTGCAAGTGCAATTAAAGAAATTTGAGGGGGAAAAAAGAAAGCGTAAGAGGGAATTTACATTATTAGCAAAATTCTTTTACGATTTGACATATCAAACGTTGGTCACCTGTTAACAAATTTCAAAGAGCATAGAAGTCAAAATAACTTGTTTTGGAGATTGGTCCAAACCAAAGACTTACTTTTTAATGAAGTAATACTTTAGGGAAAAATAAAGTTTACACCCTCAACTGCTTCACCTTCTTCCTTCTCTCGCTACCACTTTTTAAAGCCACAGTCCAAATTCAAATATAGCCCTCCTGATCTCCTCTTTGTCTCTTGGGAGCATAAGATCATATTCGTATACAGACACCTGTAGATGTCCCCAGTGGGATTTCCAAAGCCCATCTAATTAGGTCGGGATAGACAGTTTTGAAAAATCTCATAAGGTACCTAAACAATTGTGACAACCTGACCAATTCCATACTCTGCCAGATGTACAAATCATATGAGTATGAAGGAACAGGCACTTTGCAGCTTGAAAGCCACAAAAAATATGGACTGTATCACATTTCCTGAATTACACGTGCAAAATGACTAGCTAGATCACCCATTTTTATGCACATCCTGTGCAAAAGCTCCTGCCTGAACATCAAAAGTTGCTTCTGAGCCCCCCACCTCACAGCTTTACATGCATGAGTCAAGGGGAGAACGTACACTCAAACTTCCATACTTGCTTACTGTATTGGGGGATACGAAGAAACTTGCAAAATTCGTACATATAAGAAAACTTTTAAGATAGCAATATAGATTATATAGTGAGCAAAATTCCAGATACACACTAACTGGGTTCATATTTTTTGTGTGTGGAAAATTTGGCCTGAAATATCCGAGTTTTCCTGCTCAATCTAATAGTTGAAGAATATGCTGTGTTATTACTATTGCAAAAAGACAGGGGAAATTTTATGAGCTGATATGCTGGAGACAGAAACTGGCTGGGACTAACCACTCTGGTATGTGAACTCCATTTCTTTCTGTGGCTTCAAAGCACAAGCTCAGCTCAACAATGTACTTTTTGGCCTAGAAATCATTCTCTAGTAAGTTAGATATGGAAAACAGCATGCATTTTAATTACTTTCTCTTCTCCAGCTATCATCCCTCACAATTCAAAACCTTTTAACAAGCTCGTTTATATTACAACTTAAGTTCTGCAACAGGAAAAATATTTTGCTTAAAATTTCTATCTTATTGTGTAAATATGTGATGATGTTTACAAAATGATTTACGGTCTAGTACTTTGTTAAAAATATCAGTCCATTTCATAACTTTCTAATTTTGCAGCACCCGTTTCTACAAAGCACCATTTCCTTGCTAAAGGTTGATCCGGTACCCAGTGTGGTGGACAGGAATCTCCTGATTCTGGTCAGCTTCAGGTGGGCTCTATTTATTCCAGCAGTATTTTTTTCAGTGGATAGATACAAGCCAAGGAACCCAGTATTCAAGGAACGAATACAATTATGTGTTTTTCTTGGCAGTATCAGCAGAAGTGCACAGAGCTTAATGGATACGAAACTAAGTTACCGATGTCCAGAGCAGCAATTACAGTTTAGGATGGAGAGTCGTTCAAGGGATCCTAGAAGTAGTGGAATGAAGCAGGGCTCAGCGCTGCTACGGTTAGTGCTGTATCTACTCTGAGAATCAGGAGATTCCCATCTCAGATTAACCTCATATATCATTCATCACCAAAAACCACTTTGCAAATGTTACCTAGGAAAGCAGACAGACACCTTGTTTGGCATTAAAACTACTACGGTAATTTACTTTTCTGGGGGGCGAGATAAGATGTATGCACAACTCTCAAGTCTCAAGTGTCTCACCTGCAAAAGAGGGGGAATCAGAAGCGGGCAGACAAACCCTCAGTTGGTTCAAATCAGCATAGTGCCACTGACTTCAGTAGACAGGCAATCACAAAAGTCTTGTTTAAAGGCATGTTGCATCAGCTCTCCTCTCCTCTCCTCCCCCCTAAACAGGGCTGTGAATCAGCTCTGATCTTTAGCCTTCGTCCTTCACTTCAGTTCCTGGCACCTCTCTTCTCCTTCAAACTTCCTACACCTAATCCTTGATGGCTGACTCAGCATTATCCTCCTTCTACGCATAGCTTTGGTGGGACTCCTCCAATTCTGTAACGTTAAGCCCGGGAAACCCTTTAGCTTTAATCTGCCGAGACCTTAACTAAGGCCTGAACAATACCATAAGTACTTGTGGCGAATTGGTAATTATCAGTATCGAGGCTTGTCCACATTCAAAAAGTATGGGGTATTTCCCATATTTTCTTCCCCTACATATCTTTATTACTTAAATGTTGCATGGCTTTTAAAATACAAAAGAATAAGCATTAAAAGAAAACTAAAGCTGCCTTTTCTCCCAGCATTTCTGAGATTATCTTAATTTTCTTGGAGATTTGCTGATGAACAGCTCATATATCCCGAACTCCCCTTAAAATCCCATTACATACTCTCACAATAAGTAAGACTACCTGGTTATAATATTTAATGTAATGTCAAAAATGCCATTTTAAATATAAAGATTCAACCCAGTCAGAGTATAAGAAAAAATAAGTTGATAAATTGCTTAACATTCAAGCCAAACCAGACAAATCACAGAAGAGCTCGGGTAACGGTGTAGGTCACTACAGGAGCAGAGATTCCACCCAGGAGCGCAGTCATGGAAAGCTGCTACGAATTGACGCTTGCTTGCCAGCTTATGCAGAAAGAACAGCCAGTCCCCGTAAGCTCCTAACGGGCAGAAAACGCCTCCTGACAAAGCGCACTGCGCAGGGACCCTGCTGCGCGGCTCCAAGATTGGGCACTGAGCGATGAGGTTTTCAGGCCAGGGCAATGGCTCTTGGCAAGTAGTCCTGCGGAGCTGCGACTGCTGCTCACCCTGCACACAATTTATCCCTGTAGCAACGCCAGCCTAAGACCTATGAAAAGTTACGCCTCTTAGGAATAGTAGGGCTTAATGCACAAGGCAAATTATGCTTTTCATAAGCAACTGAGAATTTCAGCCTCTAGCACTTCTTAGTAACATTGGATTTTTAAACATACTAAATACAAGATGCAAACAGACAACTAACTACACCTAGGCAAATCCTACTGATTACCTGTCTCCGAGTTGCACTATATCTTTAAAAGTCTAGTCTTTAACTTTAAACAGAAACAATTTGACTTAATCTCAGACCAAACCAGAAACAAATAAACTTTCCAAATTTAAAAAGGCTTAAGTATTTTCTCTCCACACTATTTTTTCTATTTGCAAGCCAAGACCTAAAGCACCAATGACGACATGCCACAATAAAGACCATTCTCATGGAATTTGCAGTCAGAAGCAGGAAACCAAAAAAGATCAGCTCAAATTTTTCTAATAAGACTTCCATGACCAAGTCTGAAAACTCAAGAAACGCGTATAGTTGGAGACACTCCATATGACGCAATCCTTACTCAAAGCTCCAAATAGTTTGTCCACTACTAATTTTACAGAGGAAACTAAAGTCTCATTGCTCACTGGAATAGATTACCAAATTGGTATTGTTTGTCCTGCAGCTGGGTGGCTTAACTTTGCCTAGAGTTAAGCGCAAGTCTAAGTATACCTTACTGAACTTTCTATTTTCTAGTTTCAGTGTTGTTCTCTTTGGAATAGTATTTATACATATGTGTGTTTGCATGTATATATACATAGAACAGATAAAATACAGCAACAAAGAACAAATTATTTATATTATCATCATTAGGTGACAAAACTGTATTTAGGCTTAAGTAGTTCTTTCTTTTCAGTGGTATGGAAGGTCCCAAAATGCTTTATACTCCACAGCAGGCTGTACTGAAAACTCAGACCGCTGCTTTCCAAGGAAACATTAACATCAGGCCCTTAGGACAATTAATAGGTTGTAGTGAGGCCTAGAACAAAGCCCACTTACATAAAACCCTAAACGATGTTTCATTTTAGAGCACCTTCCTGAACTAGGGGCCAAGCGAATGCTACAGTGATGTGTACTACTAGACAGTGAATGCAGGGTAATTAAACAATACTTGCAGCTAGAGATACTTATTTAAATAAAATTAAACTGTTAATAGGCTAAGGATAGTACTTTTTACAGTACAAAAGACTGTCCCTAAGCTTATTTTTATTCTAATACCTAAAATTGTTACAGCAAAGCACTGTAAAAATTCATCTTCAATGACAACCAATAATGGGCATTTCTTCAATAATTATAGCTGCATCAGAAATTAAATTATATCCAAACTATATTTGGACGTTCCTTTACCGTATTGACTTTTTATACGATAAATATAATTAATAAAGATAAATTGTCTAATTTTCAAAGGAAATGTTTAGGTTTTTTCACTAGCTTGACTTTATGTGACATGGACTTCTCAATAAAAATGGAATCACATTTCCATTCAGGTTAAAAAGTTCATCATGAAACGGTAGCAATAATGAGGCCTCACACTTTTAACGAAAAATTAGCTTTATTTTCTCCCCCAATGTTGTTTTGTGTGTGTGTGTGTGTGTGTGTGCGCGTGCGCGTGCACATGTGCGCGTCTATCTTAATTACTGTTGGGCTGCTTCCACTAAATAACAGGTTTGGTTCACTTTTTTCAGCTAAAGAGATATCGAAGCAGTCGTTTTGAAGGGGAAAGAACTGGGACACAAAATGCAGATGCTGCGTATTGGAAATGAGGTCAGGCCCTTTCAAGTTTGTTGGGTTTTGCAAGGATTTTATATATAGAACCAATGATCAGTGCGCTTTTCCACTTAAAAACAATGCAGGTAGACATCTAATTCAGAGGATCAAAGGATAGAAGACCATGTATCCTGTTCAGTCAGTGGAAAGCAAGTGGCATTTCTGGTGGGCAACTCAGAGAATTTATGTAAGTTGCCTAAAACAAACGCTATGAACCTACTGGAATAAAAAAAAAAGAAGTATTATAGTCTCAGTTACTAAGATAGACTTAAATTAAAACATGTGGATTATCTAATATCAAGTAATAATTTGGTTTTTGTAATGTGGTCTCACCTAAATAGATAATTGGTAACGAAGACTGGACATGAGAACTTCTGATTAAAAGGTACATACATAAGATTATGAACTCATCAAGAACTTATTTTCTCTTTTCTCAAGACTCCACTATAAACCATTTACAGTGGTGATGTATTTTTTACTAAGAAAATGCACTTACAGAAGATTGCATGGGTCTTAGAAGCTCAGGAAAGGTATCTGGCACGGTGCTATCTATGTTTTAACAGAAAAATGAGGAGGTAGATGCTGGCATTGCCAGGGTGTTAATCGATATTCAGAAAGTATCAATGGTATAATCACCCTTCAGTGAAAAAGAATCAAACGACTGTCAAGAGCAGCATTTAAGTTTTGTTTTTCTAACACATCAGTGTTCAACTGCGTGTGCAAAGCAGTTCCAGAACAGAACGTGAAAGGCAGAGAGGTAGCGACACAAAAGAATATGCTCTAAAATCCTTTCTCAACCTCATTCGAGAGCGCCGTTTGTCACATGAGTTAGCGCAGATCTTCTGTGATGGGGTAAAATCTTGGTCTACGGAAATCAATACAAGCTTTGCTGTTGACTTCAGTGGGTTGAAATTTCTTCTACTATGCTTAGTTATCTGGACAGCTGCCTGAGTATCAGCAGAGCTCATCTCTCTAAACTATCTAAATGCAATTTCTTAGAAATACTCAGACCTACCGGTGAAGATAATTTCACCCTGTTACAAGACACTTTAAAAAAAAAAAAAAAAAAAGAAGTGTTCATTAGATATTTGTGTCTAATTTATTTGGTAGATTTAGTTTGAAATCTCTCATCTGGGAAGTCATATACCATTGAATACTTTCTTGCTTCACACTTCACACTACTGTTTTTCAGGATCCCTGTCAAAACGTGATATATTAAACAACTTCTCCAAGGTTACCCAGGAAGCCTGTGGCAACATCAACAATTCTGAGTCCTGCAAAGCTATCTGAACACCTTTGGTTTTTCAAAATACTAGTCAAGAATGACAGCAGGGGGGAAAAAAGAGAGAGAAGGAGAGACGGGTGAGCTAACATTTTTCTAGCCCCGTATTCCCTATGAGTATAACAAATTAATGTTAAGTGCAATAAAAACACACACAAATGCACAAACATAAAACAGACAATTTCCCAGTTTATGATCAGATATATACCAATATCCAGCCATGACGTATTCAGGCTTTTCTGCTTATAAAAGCAGATCCTGAGCTGAAAAACGTATTCCATGAAGACACAAGAACAAGCACTGGGCTGCACAGGGAGAAAGCACAGGCGTATGGTTAGAGCCAAAGCGTACAAACCAAGTGCACTACTGAATCTGCTCTCACTCCTGCCTGTGCAATACAGATTTTCTAATATCCCAGCTCTCCCACTTTTTCTGTGCCCATGAATAGCAACGCTTGTTTTGTCACTGCACTATATAAGTGGTCACACAAGAACGCAAAATCTGTATTAAAAAAAAAAAGTTAAGATATATTTCTCTGTAGTTGCTCCTTTTTCTCTTCTATTAACACCTCTGGTCATAGTTCACTTCCATTGTTCACTTTTTGTATTTAATGTAGTTTTCTTAGCTATGTTTATGGGGTTACATAGACTTCCCTTTAAGTTTGTTGTTCCTTTCAAGTAATAAACACATTTTGTAAAGATTATTTTGTTTTTTGCAAAAACAGGGTCATTGGCAGGAACGTGGGCTCACTTTGCTAACTGAACTTATAAACAAACAAATGGTATAGTCTACATTCATTCGTCCAAATAGGATTGACCAATACATAGGTGACGCTGAACACTGTCCAGTCACATACTCTTGCAGACTTGACTGTACCTGCCTCTCTCACATGTATATGGCCTGAAGAATGTTTTAATTTTTTA